TAGACTTAGCAATAGCAATAGCACTTAAACTTATATACCACTTCACAGTGCTTTACAGCCCTCTCTAAGCAGTTTACAGAGTCAGCCTCTTGCCCCCAACAATCTGGGTCCTCATTTTACCAATCTCGGAAGGACGGAAGGCTGAGTCAACTTTGAGCCTCCTTGGCTCTTGAGCCCTTTGGAGATATTGAGTCTGTGCTATTGAACTGAACATGTTATGAACAATAAATCTTCTGTGTACCACTTTCGTTTGGTCACATGGTTTTATTTCTTTACAATTTAGGTTGGTCACAATTTTTAATGTGTGGATTGCTGGAACATCCACTTACAAATGGATTTATTTCAATTTTAAGGTTTGTTTTTTTTAACACATTAAAAAAGGCAAGGAAAGCATAATCCCGGGGAAAGGTAGAGAAAACTGAATATATATGTGCATAAGAGGTGGAGAGAAAAGAAAAAAATGGAAAGAGAGACAGTTGGGTATTTTTGGCTGTGTCTTTTTGCCTCTTAACAATATTTAATAAGGGAACAGAACAAAGTCTTGCCGTGTTTTATCTCTTTTTTGTTCTCTAAAATACACATTTTTTCTCAAATGTCAAGAACTTCAAACTTCTCTTTGTAGAACCTTCAAAACGAAGTGGTTGAACTTTGATGAAGACCTGTGGATAAGGCGTTTGAACCTCTGAAGCTGTTGTAGCCAACTTCGCTTTGATATAAATTTGAGTTGGAGAGAGAGGGGACCTAAGGGGTGGGGGAAAATCATATAAGAAAACAAACTGTATCAGGAGGTCCCTGCGGATCTGCATACAATGAAGAATCAGTTGTGCTGGAGGCTATGACTTCTCGTGCGCATTAAAAAAAAAATAGCTCCTTAGAATTAATTCAGCCCTCACTGGTCTGCTTGGAAGCAGTGGTTATTCCAAAACATTCTGCATTTTTTTCTGCCTTTTTGCTAGAAAACCAGTTCTTTTTATTGTCTCTTCCCCAAAGATGGTAGAGTATTGGTGGGTGAGATGCAGGATTGTTGAATCTGTGCCTCTCAAGCGTCCAATAATGCAATCCAGTTCCAAGGAAGATTTCATCAAATCCTACCAAATCATGCCAAAGGCTTTCTCGGATCAGGAAGCAGGTGGAATCAAGAAGAA